TGAAACAGCAAGGCTATAATATGCGAATAACTGTACTTGCAAGCCAAATGTGAACAGAGTTATGTCACTCAATTCCACGACCCATTGTTTCATTGGGGTAATGATATTCTGCATTCTTGAGTGGCATTCAGCCAAGGGTCGGAGCGCGATAAAAGGGCGACATTCCAAATATTACGTTAAAACGGAACGACCAATAGCGCCGCGTGTTAGGACTATCCACAGGTAAATGATATATTGTGAGTGCCATTCATTTGACTTACGTGGACCATTACTGTAATTTATTTTTGATAAGTCGTCAACAAACTTATCAAAGTAGTAAAACTCTTTAGAACGTTCCTGGGTGGGCTCAAACCACCAACCTTTCGGTTAACAGCCGAACGCGGTAATCTATTGCGCCACAGAGACAACTACATTCTCGTATTTCCCTTTAATTTTTTCAACTTCTGCACCACATGTCACTGTGTATTATTGGGATTTACGAAAATATTGTCATCGTCACTTTCCAGATAATATTAATAATTCTACACGTGTTCATGTAAAAACAGGTGAAACTGTTATTAAGATTATTTTTATTTGTTGCGGATATGTTACTACATGCTAATGCAATTGTGTTGAAACCTGAAATACCGACAGTTTAGAAAAATATTTCGATTTTTAAAACTTATAGCAGCGCCTGTTTTCGATCCAGGGACCTCTGGGTTATGGGCCCAGCACGCTTCCGCTGCGCCACGCTGCTACAGACATTTTGTTTGACGAATAGTACGATAGTTTGTCTTTTGTTCGGGTTGTCGTGGTTGACATCGCGACTGTAAACGGCCAAGACACCGTTCAGGTTCCTTTGAATGTCACGAGCCCAAAGGTCGATGTCGTCGGTTGAAACAGCAAGGCTATGAGATGCGAATAACTGTACTTGCAAGCCAAATGTGAACAGAGTTATGTCACTCAATTCCACGACCCATTGTTTCATTGGGGTAATGATATTCTGCATTCTTGAGTGGCATTCAGCCAAGGGTCGGAGCGCGATAAAAGGGCGACATTCCAAATATTACGTTAAAACGGAACGACCAATAGCGCCGCGTGTTAGGACTATCCACAGGTAAATGATATATTGTGAGTGCCATTCATTTGACTTACGTGGACCATTACTGTAATTTATTTTTGATAAGTCGTCAACAAACTTATCAAAGTACTAAAACTCTTTAGAACGTTCCTGGGTGGGCTCAAACCACCAACCTTTCGGTTAACAGCCGAACGCGATAATCTATTGCGCCACAGAGACAACTACATTCTCGTATTTCCCTTTAATTTTTTCAACTTCTGCACCACATGTCACTGTGTATTATTGGGATTTACGAAAATATTGTCATCGTCACTTTCCAGATAATATTAATAATTCTACACGTGTTCATGTAAAAACAGGTGAAACTGTTATTAAGATTATTTTTATTTGTTGCGGATATGTTACTACATGCTAATGCAATTGTGTTGAAACCTGAAATACCGACAGTTTAGAAAAATATTTCGATTTTTAAAACTTATAGCAGCGCCTGTTTTCGATCCAGGGACCTCTGGGTTATGGGCCCAGCACGCTTCCGCTGCGCCACGCTGCTACAGACATTTTGTTTGACGAATAGTACGATAGTTTGTCTTTTGTTCGGGTTCTCGTGGTTGACATCGCGACTGTAAACGGCCAAGACACCGTTCAGGTTCCTTTGAATGTCACGAGCCCAAAGGTCGATGTCGTCGGTTGAAACAGCAAGGCTATGAGATGCGAATAACTGTACTTGCAAGCCAAATGTGAACAGAGTTATGTCACTCAATTCCACGACCCATTGTTTCATTGGGGTAATGATATTCTGCATTCTTGAGTGGCATTCAGCCATGGGTCGGAGCGCGATAAAAGGGCGACATTCCAAATATTACGTTAAAACGGAACGACCAATTGCGCTGCGTGTTAGAACAATCCACAGGTAAATGATATATTGTGAGTGCCATTCATTTGACTTACGTGGCCCATTACTGTAATTTATTTTTGATAAGTGGTCAACAAACTTATCAAAGTAGTGAAACTCTTTAGAACGTCCCTGGGTGGGCTCGAACCACCAACCTTTCGCTTAACAGCCGAACGCGCTAACCTATTGCGCGACAGAGACAACTACATGCTCGTATTTCCCTTTAATTTTTTTCAACTTCTGCACCACATGTCACTGTGTATTATTGGGATTTACGAAAATATTGTCATCGTCACTTTTTACTTTTCACCGTGTTCATGTAAAAACAGGTGAA